AAAAACAACTAATTGTTGTCGAGTAATATTGTAATTTTGGATTTCAGATCTGGGGCTTTCTTTCTTTACATACAGAAACCATTTTCATCAGGCTCTCCTTTGTCTCAAGCCCAATGGTTCCGAATTGGTCAATATTCAGTTTTACGAGTTGCACTGTCTTTATTATGGCTTTATGGGATATCGTTATGTGGGCCATTCAGATCGATTCTTGTTACTCAGCATTATGATGTTGTAATAATTACAGCCATTGGTGCCCTTTTTTCAGGTAGGTTCTTTATTTCTGCATCTCTTCATTACTAGGCAGACTTGTGATCGAAAGATAACTTACTGAGTACACACACCTAAGAGTTATATTGATAATGGTTGATTTGATAACTAATAGAAAACCAGTATTACGCTAATAGTTAACTTCAATTCAACAACTGTAGGCACGCAGAGTCCTGCAGTGCTTCGTGGTGTGGTCCTTTTTGTTCTTGCAGTCATTTCATTATTATTTTTGGACCACGATGAAAGTCAATTGCACCCGGGAAATAGCCACCTTTCTCTTGGGGTTGAATCCTGGTTTGGTCTGGCTGATCACAAGGTAAGAACAGTCTTGTTCTATTTTAGATATAAATCTGAAGTTCTTCAAATTGTGAAACACGGTTTCCTTAAAAGTTTAGCTCTGTTCCTAATAGAAACTTTGAACGAATTATTTAATTTTTTTGCAGTTGGGAGTCTTATTTCTCTGTGGCCTTCTCCCCATTCAAGTTGGTGCAAATATGCTTGGAAAAAGAGTGGGTGCTGATGTGGGGAGTCAAAGGCGTCTACAAAGTGTTGTTACGATTTTTGAAGCAATTTTATGTTTACCGTGGACTTTGTTTATGTTCTTTACCAAGGTTTGAATGCAAAATTTTTATTGAATGATATTGATTTCCTTTGTATTTGATAATATGATTTAGAGAAATTTAAAATCCATTTTTTGTTACTCATAGTGATGTGAATTTCTTCATATTTGGGCAAATCATGTATAAACTAGAATTCAGTATCTTTTCTGTTTACAAAAACCAATAAAAATTAGTATTAAAATATTTATTGACCTTAAATTAGTGTTTTGTGTTTGATAATGCCATAAGATAGTGTTTATTTGCCAATTGGATGAATGACAATGTTCATGTTAATATAAATTTATCCTTATTAGAAAAAATGTACTTCTCTTTAATATAAGAATTTTGGAAAAGAAAAAATTATGATGTGAGACCATCACAGAGCAGGGAAAGATAACAAGCAAGCATTTTGAAAATCTTTAGAAATGAAGTTTTAGTTGAAGAAAATGAAGATTTAGAAATGATGATTTTAGAAATGAAGTTTTAGTTTTTCAGTTGTTACATGAGCATCAAATTTTTGAAAATGGAAAAACTTCTATTAGCAATGAAGAGTAAAGAGAAGTGATTACATTGACATTAAAAAAAAATGTATTCATAAGTAGTACATATAGCAAATTCATGATTTCCATCATTTTCTACAGACATTGGAAGAATTGTCAGTTTGATCCTCTTAGCAAATAGTTAATGGTTCCTTGTATTGCTTCTAGATTATAAATGTGGAACAGATCAAAGGGTGGTAACTCTAAAAGACCTTACTGCTAGTTGGTGTTAACTGAAGATTTAATCTACTTCAATAAGGCCATTTATTATTAGTGTGCACCACCAACCAGAATGGGCCACTAAGTAGAAACTAACTTTATAAATTAGTGTTATCTTGTATGAAGTTTAATGCATTTCATCTGTTCCTCCATGAATGTAAATTGCCTTAACCCCACTCTCTCTCCCATGACCATGTCACATACAGTCACTGTTTTGACTTTCATTAAGCAAGATCTGAAGTTCAGATAATGAAATTGAAAAATCACTAACAATTTTAGGCACTGATAAGACTGTCCCTGCCCTCAAAAACAAATTAAATAAATAAATATATGTGTATATATTTATTTTAGGTAAGGTACAAAATGTATGACAAGATAGCATATTTTCTGCTTTTTCTAATTAATTAGTTCTAATCATTTATTGTGAATTAAAACTCAAATTTTGGCTGCCTTTTTCCTCTAATAATTAAGTGTGAGAATTGTTTTGAACCATTCATTATTTCTCCTTCTCTTCTTTGATCTCTTTTGATTGGTGTCCCAAGTAAAGAACAACTTGAATAACACTTGCAGAACTGTTGTTGTTATTATTATTATTATTATTATTATTATTATTATTATTATTATTCTATTGTATGTGTTCAATTACAGGAAATGGGAGAATTTTATACAGTTTCAAATATTTCACCTGTGTTGGTTGCTTCAATACTGGGATTGGTATTTGTGTATTATGTTGAGTCAGCTTGTTCTCAAAGGTAAATTTAAAAATCGGTAATGCCAAAATTTTCATATTTATTCACCTTTGATATTGGTATATAATGTTTCCTGCATAGATTTGAAATGTTAAGAATTGCAAGAATTGGATCTGCATCAATGTCAGTTTCTGCCTTATGTATTGCATCCTTTTGGGAGCCATTACCATGGATTCGGAGAACAGAAAATGTTGTTGTCATTGGTGAACAACATGGTTTGTCTGGAGGAGGCATTTTTGCGTGTGTGCTTTTTGTGCTTGGTATGTTATATATTTTCATTTTTGCTCTAATGTTCATGAAGTGAATATAAAAAAATTTTGGCAAGGTTTGTTGAATAGAATTGCCTTCCATTCATCTGATTCAAAAATTTGTTAATTTTCATGCCTGTATTATGTTTGTATAAAAGTTTTAAAAACATTTTATTCATAAGTATCCTAATAACAATGTTTCATAAATATTTTTAAAATTAACTTTGGATTTGTAAACGTTTTTGAGTGAATGATGATTTCAAATGAATTTATCAACAATATATTTTAGATAATGGGGAAATTTTAAAATTATTTTAAACTTTTGGTTCATTTATTGGACATGTTTGTTTCTTTCATTATGGAGAATAAAGTATATCTGATGAGATAGTAATTTTTTTCTGTTGTGCAGTGTTATAAATAAAATTGTGGTTGTGTACATGTGTAAAATTTGTTACACATTAGTGTTAGAATACCAACAACTCTAAATAATAAAAAGAAAATTTGAATTGTAAATGCACTTGAACATCTTGGGATTTTTATATACTAATATCAATTAAATTCATACTTACATTTGGACTGTTTTTTGAATTGGTCAAATTTCATTAATTTTGAATGGTGGTGTCGATTTACAAATATTTTCCCATTAAGAAACCATAATTTTATTTTATGTGAATAAAGTACTTTATGTGAGTGAAATACTGACAACTTGCATTACATTGCAGCGACCTTGAGTCTTACTACAGCTGCTAAGCAAGGAACAAAAGGCTCATTTGTTGGTTACTCTTCTTCTGGTTTACCATTGTACAACTTTACTAACAGCAGTCTACACAATACATCTAAATCAATCATATTGTCAATCAGTTCTATTATGAAACAAGTTGTGAGCAACAGAAATAGTCGACGAATTTTCTATTTTTTGTGCTTGAACATAAGTAAGAAATCTAAACATTTTCTTTTTTACAAAATCTGGCATAATTATATGATTATAATTCCTGATATTACTATGTTCTTTTTAATTAGGCTTCACGGTTGTAGAATTTGTTTATGGAATTTGGACTAATAGCCTTGGTTTGATCTCTGATGGATTTCATATGCTATTTGATTGCTCAGCACTAGTTATGGGACTTGTGGCATCAGTTATGGCAAGTTGGAAGCCTACTAAAACATTTTCGTATGGGTGTGTTATTATTATTAATACTGTTGTTATTTTAAGTGTTTTTCAATTTGGTAATTATCTCTACATTTGTTTTAGGTATGGAAGAATTGAAGATTTATCAGGATTCATAAACAGTTTATTCCTTTTGGTCATATCTTTTTTTGTTTTTTCTGAAGCTGCCAGTCGAATTTTAGATCCACCTAGAATTAGTACTCAGCGCTTACTCATTGTATCTATAGCAGGGCTTATTGTGAATTTAATTGGTATTTTTGCATTCAGGTGAATGAACATTTTATAAATAGTTTTTTTATTTACATAAAAGCTTGTATACATATACGGTATTATTTCATTGATAATGTTTCCACTTGTAGACATGGATCTTCTCATAGCCATGCTCACCATGGACATACTGCTCATGGTCATGGGCATGGGCATATGCATGCCCATTCTATTGGGTTTCATGGTCACACACACAATGCTAACATGGAAGGTATGATTGTCAGTTGCTTATAAGTTAGTATTGAATGGTTTTAGAAAAACATATTCAGTGTGTGTGTTCCACAATAATATTTTAGATTAATTGTAAAATGGATAACAAAGGTAATGGTAAACAAAGTCTTACTGGTGTCATTTTATGTTCAAATGAATACTAAAACATTCTTTTAAACTGTACACTAAAAATGAATACCATACTGCATCTAGTAACTAAGTAAGGAGGAGTAGTAACGAAGATACTGCAGACTAAAAATAATTCAATATGACTACAAATTGGTTTTATTAGTGCATACAAGGAAATGCTTTTCAGTGATTTAACACTTACGCTCCCAATGAAAAAACAGGAATCTTGTGACATGAGCATTTATCTGGTCTCATATTATTGGTGGTACATCGGTAATATGCAAAACACTTGAAAATGTACACAACACGAATCACATCAATAATTTTCCCCTTATTTTGAAAAGAGATTGAATTTACCATGATAACACATTGCCTAAGGCACTCCCAAGCACAATAGGAAATGATTCTGGTTTTCCCTAATCACAAACAGTAAAATATATCTGATTCTTGGTGGGAACAAACATACAAGACCATAAGCCATCCTATCCTTTGTGTTTATGATGTCGGGAAAATGCATGAAAAGTGGATTTCAAAAGAGTGAAAGTGGGGACAATTTTACATTGTGAACATGAGGAAATTGAAGGGACCGGAGAAACTGTGTCAATCATGGGAAACGTAAAATCTTTGTATATGAAAGCAGGAATTTACTGTATTGTCTGTTACAAAAATTATTTAATGTGCTCTTCCTAATAGAAGTTATAGCTTTATTTTTGTTAATGTACAAACAGCATTTTTGTTAATGTACACTAAATGCAGGTGTCTAACTAGTAATCTCATTCTGTATTTTAGGTAAATAATTGTTGTGCAAAAGCTATATATATATTTCTACTTGTAAAAGGTGGATAATGATTCTGCAATTATTATTCTTTTAAAGGAGTATTTTTACACATTATGGCTGATACTTTGGGAAGTGTTGGAGTGATTGTTTCTTCAATTCTAATAGAACAGTTTGGATGGTATGTGGCGGACCCTGTCTGTTCTATATTTATTGCTGTTCTTATCTTCATGAGCATTCTTCCACTGTTGAAACAATCAGCTTGTGTGCTGGTTCTGATGACTCCTCCTAAAATACAACTGCAGCTTGCTACAGCTCTTGATCAGGTTTGTTTGATAATCTTCTCTCCGAAATTGTAAACTTTTTGAGGACGGAAAGAATCTATTCATTGAACAAAATGCTGACTCTTTTACTGAGTTTAGTAACTGTTGACTTGATGAACAAATCAAATTAGTTATTTCCAAAAAGTAATTATAAATAAAGGAAAACAAAAACGTCTCTTTTCATTAGGTTGAACTGTTTTCATGATTGCATTATATTTGTCAGAAATACTAAATGTTTTCAACAGTTTTAGAGTACTAGGACAGAAACGTAGTATTTGAAAAAACACATATCAAGGCCAGTGGAGAAGCAAGGGGTTATATGTATCGTATCAAGTTATAATAGAAGTCTTAAGAGTACAGTTGGTTAAAAATATTCAATAACCTTTGCACCTGAGAAGTGTCTGTGTTTATATCCTCGTATATTGCATGCTTAAGGTAGCACATGGGCCCTCTACAATTTTTTCTGGGGTAGGGTGCTAGTTTCTCAATTACACCCAAAGACATATTGAACACCAGACCAATATATTCTAGTCTAGGAATGCCTCCATGCCACAAATAACTGAAAACTTTCATGTCTTACTCTAGCTTCGAACCCACAGCCTTGGTGTCTAGAACTTAGACACTCCTTCCCTTACCCACTGGGACTTGTGTGCCAGCTGACTTGACCGTACTGTAATATAGCCCATGTAGTATTACAATCAGGATCAGTCACTTAACTTAAGCCCCTCCAGTAATTTTTGAATGGTTGAAGTTATTGCAATGCAGTTTTCACAGAAGTGCATGAGGGAATGGTGCTAATTGATCATGAGAAGTGTAAAAAGACTAATTCAATGATGCACGTAGTCACACAGTTTTGCACTTTTGATAAACATTTTTTTGAGTAATTTTGATGTTTTCCAACTCATATTTAAAAATTATTTTTTTTAATGCACAGGGCACCAGCCAAGGTCAGTCAGCACTCTCCCTGCTGACACAAGCTTTGGGCATTACATCTGTTAAATACAAGTAGCAAAAAATCAAAATTACTCAAAAGAATGCTTATCTAACATACGACAATATTTATATCATTGGATTTTTACGCTTATCATTATAGTCTAAAAAAATTGTATAGTTTCATTTGAAAAAAAAAAATTACTTCAATATCTCGTAAAATACAAGTGATAGAATGGAAATGAATATATGTATAAACTAGCCCCATTCCCTCATGCACTTCTGTGAAAACTGCTTTGCAATAACTTAACTGTTCAAAAATTGCAGGAGGTGCTAAAGTTGTGTGACTCACTCTGTATAATGTAAACATGTTATAATTAAGTGAAGTAATAATAATAAAATGTTCTCCCTGCTGATCCATACATGTGCTTTACAACATTGAATCTATGTATGTCAATGACATTTGGCATCATTTGATTTCTGTTGCAACAATGAAAACAGAGTTAGTGTAGCTTTAAATCTATCTACCATACACTCTTAAAATTTAATAACATCAGAAAAATGGTTGTAGAATTTAGTATTTAGAGATTGTCTCAATTAACATGATGCTATAGTTTCCTTTCCTGTATTATTTATATTGATAAAATTGTGTTTTATCAAAATACATACATTTTTTTCACATTTTTTCAATTTGTCAATTCCCTAATCGATTGATTGAAAGAGACTCAGAATATCATAGAAGAGCAAATCTTCTTTTCATATGGACATTTTCATGGTTAAATTTAAAGCTAATCTGAGTGTTTTTGAAAATGCACAATTTTGAACTAATTTATCCTTTAAAAATTTTGAGGTTTCAAAAAACTTTATTTGAGATCTTTTGAAGCATTTGAAGCAAGAATAAATTTCCCTTGGAATAAAAATACTAATCTCACCAAGAGATTTTAAATGGAAAAAAAAATATTTTGAAAAATCAAAAGTTTTAAATAAAATGGTTCATACATCATGTGGTTAAGTGCATTGTGCTATATCTGTAGACAAAATTTAAAGAAACAATATGGAACCATTCTTGAGAAAATTTTGAAAATGTTCCAAGGATTTAATGTTAGAAGCCCTCCAAATTAAAACATTGATTCAAGTTCATGGGGCCGTTTCATTAACCAGATCAATTGAGGAATATCAGTTTGTGAAATTCCCTGAGGTGTTAGTGTTCACAGATGGATAGATGAATGCATGAATAGACAGACTTTTGGGACGTAAAAAAGGACCTGCACAGAATATGATAATTGTATAGAATTGCACAGACTTTCTCTTACTAGTTTCCTAATTCTTTTGAGTTGGTGCTAGCTTATCCTCTTCCAGGTGGTTTCTGTTGGAACCAAAATCTTCTCTGGAAATGTTCTAAATAAAAAGCACATTAGCAGTCCCCAAATATCACAGATACCCATCTCGGTCTTCACATATTTGCCACCCAATTGTTCCGGGTGTAGGGAGTCAATTTATCAATAATACACACTATCATACACAGTTGCCTATCGGACCAAGAGATTATGAAAAGGGGTATAGATCAATACATGAAAGACAGACCAAGAATTATCCCAACGCCACAAGCACAACTTTCAACCTTCAGTTTTTACATTTGTTTTTCAAACCCACAACCTTAGTGACTGCTTACTTGGACTCACCTGCCCCAAGCTACCGTCTCACTAGACCAAATCACTTGGCCATACTTCGTAAATATGGCATATGTAACATAATCTATACTAATAAAAGTGAATTCAACAACATGTAATTGACAGTGATTTGCTGTGTCCTTGCAAAGTTTGGTAAAGATTAATACAAAACAAATGCAGAAAATAAATAATTCAAATAATATGCTGATAGTTGCACCACAATCATTATTTTTCACCTGTCGCTAAGAGACTGATCCCTAATATATTTCGCGAGAGACCTGCAGAGGTGTGTTAGAACAATGTGCCCAATCTGCATGAAAGTTGGTACATCTATGTATTTTTTCACACAGAACGTTTTTGTGTTATTAATTTTATTGTAACTCTACTAAATGACACCACAGCTCAAGATTGCACTTAATTTTAATTCAATTTCCATTCAATCTGAGCTTAATTGTTGCTGAAGAGGAATGGATGCAAGGCCAAAGAGGACAGGACAGGACAGGTGGCACGAGAGAGGGAAAGGGAGACAGACAGAGAAACTTAGACATAGACAGAAACGCAGGGAGAGAGAGACACAGTCAGATAGACAGAAAGAGAGAGAGAGAGAGTCAGAGAGATAGATAGATAGACAGAGAGAGAGAGAGACACACACACACACAGTCAGATAGACAGAGACAAACAGACAGGCAGACAGCTGCAACTGACTTTGTAATTCGTAAACTTGGATAAAAATGATTGTCAGTCTAAACATAGTTTATGACACGCACAATAATAGTGATTTTATTTTAGCTTGCTTCCTAATTACGAAAAAAATCTTATACCATTCGTTTCATAAATGACCATTCCTGTATCAAGGAACCCCAAAATGTGTTTTTCCATTAAATCTCAAAATCAATTTTCCCCAACATTACATAACTTGTCTTTGTACGTCATTTACAATAAAAAATGAGAAGTTGATGATTTTTTTTCCATTTACCCACTTACCCACTATGTTTATTCGCTGAGATAGGTAAAATAGTCTGGGTAAAATTAGGAAGTATCATTAACATGTATGGGCCTTTAGTTTGTTAGTTGATTGGTCAACTGTTCATTTCTTGTTCTCTGTTAATTCAGACCCAGTATTTCAGTTTGTTCAACAACATTTTTATTCACTTTACTACTGCTTTATGATAGTAGTTACAATACTCATTCTTAGATTCAAGTGGTTGCTAAACATGCTATTTATGAAAACTACTTAAAAAGAATTTGATATTTCTGATTTAGTGCTGTAATTTATAAATAATTTCTTCATAATTCAAGGAAATTACTGATCAATATAATACATATGTGGTTACAGGTATCCAACATTGCAGGTGTTCTGAAAGTGCATAGGCAACATTTTTGGCAACATTCCTCAGAAAATTGTATGGGAACATTACACATTCAGACAACAGCAGATGCCAGTGAACAATCCATTATACAGCAGGTAATTTAATTTTAAGAAATAATGTTCTAGTGATATCAGCAAAAAATGTGAATAACAGAATGTGAATTAAAAATACGCCTGCCAACCTATTTAACCAACTGCATAAGAAATACTATATTTTGGATCATGAAAAACTATGATTTCCAAATTGTTAGCTTCCCAACTCGACTGCTCCCTTTTATTTTATAGAAAAATATTTACATGCCTTATTTTTGCATACATTCATAAAGAATGGCTGAGTAAATACCTAATGAATTACAAAAGTAAAAAAAGAAAAAGAAGAAGAAGAAGAAGAAAAAGTAAAACAGAAATTCAGGGGTTACTATGTTGTGAATTCATAAGCATACCTATTCGCATGATTTTTTGAATCATTTTTGTATGGGTGCATCGTATTTAAAAAAATAAAAATTGATTTTTCATGTTTGTTGCAATTATATTTTTGTTTTAAAATCATACCAAAATGCCAATGAAGTCATTCCAAAATAGTACAAGAGTATTTCTTGCAAAAGTAAATAGATACTACTACACATGAATTGATATTTTTAGTCAAATGCCCTATATAATTATCAATTTATTGCATACTGACCACAGCCAGCAGCTGCACAATGTGGTTCTGAAACATAGCATTCGAGTGAAGGTGATCCCGCATTTATGCCACTCACCCTTGCTTTTACAAAAAGGCAAAACACGATCACCAGCTACAACATACAGTAATTTATATATCTTTGTGTGTGTGCGCGCGCGTGTGTGTGCGTGCGCGCGTGTGTGTGCGTGCGCGCGTGTGCGTGCGTGTGCGTGCGCGCGTGTGCGTGCGCGCGTGTGTGTGCGCGTGTGTGTGCGTGCACGCGTGTGTGTGGGCGTGCGTGCGCGCGTAGACACACACACATACAGTAATTAATTATATTTTGGTATATTCATATTCTTTCATTTCTGTTCATATGGTATATTTCCATTCCTTTTTTGTGTAGGTTTGCACAATATTCAAAGATATTGGAATTCAGCAATTCTGTGTTCAGGTGGAAAAGGAAGAATTTTTTACACATCTCTCAGGTTTAGGATCTCAAGTAAAAATTGCTAATTATGGAATAGAACTGCCTGGAAGTGAGTCTCTGTACATGGTGAAGGCAATCTGAAATACCTCCGTTTTAACAGTATCATCTTTACTTTTTCTGAAGCTTTTGTTAGAAGAAGCAGTAACTGATGTTTGAAAATGTGGAGATAATGTGTATGATGTTAGTGGCCATTAGTGACATTTCAGATGCAGAAGAAATTGTGTGTGTACAAAGATGAAGAAGAATTATTGTCCTGAGTGTATTAATACTAACATGTATTATTGTTTCTCAAAAAGTGTGTTTTGTGACATGTTCCTTTTATTGTAATAAATATATTTTATAGTTTCGAATTCTGTAATTATTGTTAATATGATTTGCTCTAAAGCCACATGTGCCTAGTGTTGCATATTTGCAGTATTGTGCATTGATAACTACTTTCCAACAACACAAATACACAAGGAGCATGATTGTCCATTTCTTCATTGTTGAACATTCCATAATGAAAAAAACATTAAAGTATTAACCATTTAGAAGATTGCAATAAGTATTGGATGTTCAAGAACTGAAGAATCATTTATGTTCTGTTGAAAATGTACAGTCATGATGAATAAAAAATAATTTTATAATTTTTTTTTCTTCTTTTATCACATTTATAAATGTTATGTTTTTATTTAATACACTAAATAGGATACTTTTTACTTGTTACATGGTTTTATGTCAGTCTTTCACTGTTTTGTATACACAGCTTTCTGCATATGTGTTGTTTTTACAAATCATTAGTACATACTCTTTTCAATGTGATAATTCCCAGTCTTTTTAGGTGTTCTGAAAACCTTTATGCCTAATTTTTCAAAAATGGATATTCCTTAGTCAATCTGGCTATACTCGAGGCCCTGCAATTTTGAAAAAATTCTTCATAACCATAACATTTTCAAAAATGTTTCAATTTTTTCTCAAAAATGGTTACAATTTTTTCTTTAAATGTCTTGTAAAAATATAGTAAAATACATTTATAAGGGCGAAATATATACAAGTTTCATGGTTAACCCTGAATTTTCAAAAATTTTGAAATTTTTCGGGAGTCTTCCTACAACTACAAAATTGAAGATAGAGATTTTTCCTTTGTATAAAATTTGTTCTCCTTAACGACTTATTGTATTAAGGTCTTTTTTTTAATTGTTAGTAGTGTTCGCGAAATATTGCATGCAATATGTGCAATTTAAAAATATAGCAAAAACAAGATTTTCTCCAAAACGGTGCCAACTTTTTTCTTTAAACGTTTGGTAGGAATAGTGCTACATGCATTCTATAAGGTGATACTAATGCCATAATGATTTATTCGTGTGCTTTTTTAAAAATGTAATATTTTTGAAAAGTTTATTCATTTTTTTGGGTATATCACGTTGTTAATATCTACATTGGGGGCGTTTTGTTTTTATTATTATATTTATGAGTACATGTCATTTATAGTTTCTCGACAACTCAACCGTTTTACGTGAAAACTAGCTCAAAATTACACATTTTGAGAAAGGCGCAAACGCCATTTCTCAAAAACAGCTTCAATTATTTTCATAATTGTTTAACAGATTGCACTCTTTAATATGACAAGAGGTTCATTTTGGGGCATTTTTTGTTCTTTCCAAAATTACATAAATGACAAATGTAATTTTTTAAAGATGTCTCATGCCGTTAATATGCTCTTTTTCCCGCAATTAGTAAACTCGACTTAATTTTAATATTATGTAATCATTAACTAATATGTAGTAATAGCACAGAGCTGGTACCAATTTAATTTTTATTAAAAAAAAGAAGGCCATTCAGCAGCGGGGAAAATTAAATTATTTTCAAATTCACGCTTCCCTATGTGAAACGCCGAGGAACATCCCTGCCAGGAAATGTGCTCTGACAAGGAAACTTTTGCGTTGCCGAGCTGCAAACCCGGGCGTGTTTTTTCTGGAGTCCAGGCCCTAAAGAGAAGGGCCGTGACGTCAGGGGGTCGGTACGCGGATGGGCGGCCAGAGCAGGACCCTTCAGGAAGGCGCCTTCGAAGGCCAAGGTTACGTGTACGTGATTGGCAGCAGGGCGACCGCGGCGTCGGCGTGGGGGAGGCGCCGCGAAACACGAATTCCGGAGACCCAACGCACTTCTTAAAAAGATTTTTGTCAAGCTTCTCGTATATTTGTTCGCTGAGCTTCTTCAAAAATTGTTCGTTTATTTTTATCATTTTAATTTTCCTTGTTCGACATAAAAATGTCTTTCAAGGGTTTGAAAATATTTTACATAAAATACATTGATTTTGTGGCATATTATAAACATAATTAGACATTAAACATAATTAACAATCTTAGACGTTGTTCCAGGAAGGGGCATCTGAACAGTTATTTTAATTTTCGTGATTTGTTACTATTGAATAGCTAATCAGTGGAATTAAGGAGGATGTAATAAATATTTCGAATGACGTGTGTCGCTGGGCAAGAGGTAAGTGAAGAGTAGAAACTGTTTGATAATTTATTTCTATGTTTTAAGGGTTTCAGTAGAAAGTTCTCTCAGGATTTGATTATTTCTAATAAAACATGGAAATTTTAAAGCATGTCTTAAGAATCTATTTTGACTAACTTCAATTTTGCGAAAATTTGTTTTTGCTGTGCCACCCCATATTGGACATGCATATGTGAAGGAAGGGCGGAAAAAGTTGTTTGTGAGCGTGCTCGCTTCAGGCCACTCATGCGAGTCGTGCCCCCTCGCCCTGTACGCAACCGCGTCGGAGCTGACGATTCCGCGAGAACATGGTCGGGCCGAGAAGACCCTTTGTCCAAATCTTGTGGGTGACAGGCTGCTAACCGCGATCGCCGCGCGCGACCCATGACGTGTCCCCGGGGCCACTGCTTCAGTCGCGCCGTCCCGCCGCCGGTGAACATGGCCGAGGACAGCCGTGCTCGCGGCTCCAGAGGGAGCCCAGACCAGCAGAACGTGCTCCGTGCGGAAGATCAATCGATCCCTCGCCGACCAGCGCCACTCGGCCAGCAAGGGAAGGAGCGTGGTTAGATCACCAAGAAGGGCGGAATTAATTGTCTTGTGTGAGAGGAGAGGAAGAGAGTATTGTGTGAGCCAGAATTCACTGTAACTGGTTTATATATTTCTACTACCGGATTAAATTAAGTATTTATAATTTCAGTTTTTTTATATATACATATACACATCTCGACTATTTCCCGGAAAATCTAGGAATGCTGAGCGAAGAGCAAGGAGATTTCACCAGGATCTAAAGGAATTGGAGACTATCCAACCACATCTCACACGCAAAAAGCAATGCAAATAAGTTTCTTAAACTAAGTTTAGGTTGAAACGGTTAAAAATTGAAACTGTCATTTTATCTTTATCAAACATTATGAGGCATGTACATTATTTGGTCCAATTCAACTGTGTTGTTGTTCAAATCAGTAAACGCAATGCATTACATATTTCTATGTTATGATCATAAGTATGTATTATAGTAGTGTAATAAGTAATAAGAAAGAAGCAGTCCTTACATATGATAAAAATAATTTGTAAACTTGCCTGTACACATGTCCTATATTTCTCGTATTTTAATATTGAATTTGCAAAAAAACCTGACAAGATAGAGAATACTTACTTCAGATCTGGAATCAACATGTTAGAAATATAAAAAATCACTATTTAAACATAATGCAATGAACGAAAAGTTTAAATTAGCAGGACCGTGTAATTGGAAAGTTAAGTTGTTTGGATTATTTGTTATCTTGTATTAACATTTCACAATATTGAAAAGTAAATCCAATTAATATTTGGCAATATACATATGCGAGTCATACAGACCTGGTCAGTACAGCCCTGTGGTCAGCTTTTTAAGGTTAAATAAATAAAAACCTCAAATAGCATGTCAGATTGATACATAATTTCCTTAATCCTTTGAATCGAAAAAGGAAGAACAAAAATAATCAGAGATTGGAAAATGGAGAGGCCATTTAAAAACCCATGTCAGAATAAGCAGTTTTTATTAAGGTGACTAATATCAAAGATCATTACATTGAAAATTGATTATTTGAAAATTCATAAACACACACACACACACGACATTTGAGGAACAAGTTACTGAAATGTTAAAAACTATGTCTTCTCTGAAACCTTTCTTCGCCATCCCTTCCATGTCCGCATGCATTCTCCTTCACGTCACCAAAGGTGTAGCTCTGAAATAAAATACAAGTCGATTAGTTTTGTGTCGCATTTTAATGATCAAGGATGTGAAGAATCTATTGAAATGGGAAATTTTAAAAGAAGTAGAGCTACAATTCAAAATTTGGAAATGGAAATCAAGATGGTGAATTTGTTGCGTTTTCTGCTTGGAAGACCTTGATGAATGGGATCACGATTAGCAAAGGTATGTACAGCAAAGTTCTAAGCATACTTTTTACTTTCTTGCTACCGTTTTTGCTGCAGAGAGAAAGTGATGTAATACTGCGCGATAAAAAGGCGAATTTTCGGCAGAAAACACTTGTACTGAACCCTGGTAACAAAAAAGTGGATAAAGCTCAATTTAAAAAATCCTCGTACACGTGGTGTAGCCAGAATCCATGTTGTGTGGGTCCTTGGTACCGAAAAATCGATTGACGGTGAAACGTCTATCCGTCTGTCTGTGAACAACGCTAGCGACTAAACCGTTCAGCCGATTTTCTCCAATCGATCTGGCTGATGTGGCCACTTTAATTTGAAACCGATATTTTAATTCTAGAGAGTACTTTGCATGAAGCGCCTGGGATATTTTCAAAACTAAAAAAAAATGGCTTCATCTTTTTTGTTGAAATTTTGTTGTTGGATAGTGCAAAGAACGTTCCAGAGAATGGTGCAAATCTCATTTTTATTGACAAACCTAAGCGCTTAAACCATATGTACAGTTTTTTTCCAAACTGGACATTCCCCGGTCGATCTGGATCCACTGGAGGCCCCGCGATTTTGAAAAATTTTCTTCAAAATTTTAGGGTAACTTACATGAAGCCCCTCGGACATTTTCCAAATTTCCTCAAAAACGGCTACAAATTTTAAAACAAATTTATTGTAGAAATAGAGTAACATACACTTAAAAAGATGGCATAGGTCTAATTTTTCAAGGTTAACGCTGAATTTTCGAAAATTGCAAAAGTGAATTTGTTGGGGCGTCAGCCTACAACTACAAAAACTTAAGACAAATATTTTTTCTTCAAATAAAATTTGATCTCCATAGTGAGTTCTTTCATTAAGGTCGTGTGCACTTTTTTGAAAATTTAAGTTTTCGCGCAATATTGCGTGCTGTATGTGCAATTTAAAAAAATAAAAAAAACACGATTTTCTCAAAAATGGCTCAAATATTTTTCTTTAAATGTTTGGTAGGGATAGCGCTAAGTGCATTGTTTGGGATGGCATAAACGCCACTGTTCTCATGTTTTTTTCAAAAATTACAGAAAGGTAATTTTTTGAGTGTCTCTCACGTCTTTTATATTTACATTAGCGGCGATTTGTTCACATTATTATAATGTGCTTTAAATAATGTCAAATACAGTTTTTCGAAAACTCAATATTTTCAACTTGCCTTTCATATTATATTTAAATCATATTTTTAAGAGAAAAAATCTTACTG